AGAGCAAATGTGGGTACTTTTTAGGCCCACGAACTCAGTTCATAGGATGCTAACCCTCCTCTTCCAACCGCCCTTGTTGTTTTCCAAAAGGCTGGCCTTATGTGGGTTTACGCTTGGTACTATCTTGCGTGTCTGTCCACATACATATTATGATATCAATATTTTACTTGTATGGTTACGCATTCCCACGCAATCCATTCAGGTAGTATGTGCCGACATTTCATCAATTTGGATGGACCATGTGGTACATGTTGCACACATGGAGTGCTTCGGATTGATCAAGAAGTTCCTAATGTTGTTATTTCTTGAACCAACCTCAACAATGGGTACCGACTCTAAGAACCACACACCGTATTAATGAAGGAATTTGGATAGACGGGAAGGCACAGCTCGTGAGACTGGAGCCGAGGATCGTCTATTGGAATCTGCGAATCTCTCCGGCCCGGGGCCGCTTCCCCGTGAGCGCGGAGCAGCGGGGCGTGGTGACGTTGGCGGGGTTTAGCCAAGGACTCCTAAAGAGCTTCTCACCCAAAGGCGAATCGACCTTTTGACCTTTCGTTTTCCCCTTTTGTAATTCCAGAATGTTGTTGTTTTTGTTGTTGTCGTTTTTTGTTGTAAGACTGGGTCCGTTCGGCAACTGAGGCTTTCTGGAGCACAGGATCGAGCACCTCAGCCGGAGTGCCTGTTTCCCTAGCACGTTAGGACACCAAGTTCTACGTCGGATTTCCTGGGATCTCCAAATGTGTGCCAGGCCTCCTTCTTTGTTGTTGTGACAGGGGTAAGCTCCACACCCCACACATAATACTGCCCTGGGCTGGGGCGAAAACCATCCAAACCCAACTTGTTTAGCTTTTGGGGAATACTGGCTGACAAAGAAATAGCGGAGCAGATTGCCAGTCACACAAAAAACAGCTAGCGCTGCTAAAGCTTTTTGGAGAGTGCTAAACATCCGTCATGGCATTTGCCTATTTTAGGTGGGTTAGTTGTAGTGTGGGAACGTCTCCTCTTGGCCTTTTTTTTTCATTCAATTCGGGGAGCTCGCCATACCAGTGTTTTCTCCTTTAAAAACAACACAAAAAGGGTCCCTCAAAACTCCAAAGGGTACCTTTTTGCTCAGAGGCCCCAAAAAGTGCTTAATTTCAGGTGTTCAGACCCATTAATCAATAGTCCCATTTAATAGGGTAGTCCCGTTTTGGTCCATTTTTGGCGGTTTGAAGCATCACCTCACAGGGTGTTTCTTGGTGGTGATGTTTCAAGCGGAAATATCGGGAGTGCGGGGATTCCATTGGACCAATGGACGCGATTTTGTGTCGGACTCAGGACGGTGGATCCAGCAAGCCAGATGCGGGCGATGCTCGACTCAGAATACTTCGACTCCGTGCAGGTGGCTCCGGAGGCTCTTGGCGCTGAGTGTGTGGCGAAAAAACGTTCACAGCTGGGCCCCATATAAACAGGCAATATCTCTTATGTGTATATACATATGTATATATATATATATATAGGTATGTATATATCTATATATTTATATGTATAAATATATTCATATATTTGTATGTATATATATATATATATGTGTGTTTGCACATATATTTGCACATGCATATTTGTATAAATATCTTGCACCCACCCTGTTGGGGTGCGTTAAGGAAAAGGAACCAACATGTGTTTTCTGGCGGACCAGGGCGGTTTCGCGGGTTTTTCTTGATACTTGTCAGCACTTTCCCTTGGGAGAGCCTTCAGCAGCTCACAAAGGCTTCCCTCAAAGAAGACAGCCTGGATGTAGCGGTTTCGAAAGGACATTCGTTTGTGTTGGAGTCCTTTGAGCAAGTGAGTTATGTGTCAAATGGGGGAACATATGTTTGGGAGATTGGTCCTGCCCCAAAAAAAACACCCCGTGAGAATTTGACGGTATTTGCAGTACTCCAACGCGATTTCTACCCCCTTTTCAGGCACTCCAATTTTGAGCATTTAACTATGCCCGCATCTGCTGACTTTTGGCTGTGACTGCGTTCACCTAAAACACTTTTTGATCTAAGATTCAACATTGCCAGGACTCGAGGTCTTGAAACTTGAGCCCAGATGGGACCCCCACAAAACGCTTTAAAGCGCGATCTAAGATTCAAGATTCCCAAGAGACTAGATCTTGAATCTTGAATCCAGTATGGGACCCCCCCCCAAAGGCTTTAAAGCGCTTTAAAGCGCTTTTGGATCTAAGATTCAAGATTCCAAGGACTACAGATGTGTTTGACAGCAGAGGTGTTTTTCTTCGTCGAAATGATTGACCACTTCAGAGTTTTATGTATGACATATTATGGTCTAGACCCTGTGCATTATGACAAGAAACCTAACGTCGCTTTTGCACTGTACCACATGTTGCTTATGATGCTAGTTGTCCAATTAACGTATGACCAGAATATGTATGAAATGGATTGAACAAAAGATCAAGAGGAGGAATATTGAGAACGCAGAAGAGCACATGCTATTTATATGGGTGGCAAAGTCTTAATTGATCATTTGCGCGAGTCTGCCAAGACTGTGAATTGTTTTTTTGGTACTATCCGTCTAAAGTGCCTTACATAAGCAGCAGGCGTGGGGTTTGAGGGAGGGTTGCATATGTATATATATATATATACTTTAGAGCCTCCGGCTCACTCCGCCGACATTGTCCTCTCCCTTTTTCTCCTTCATCTCTCCCTTGTCTCCCTTGTGTGTTCTATTGTCCTCTCTCCCTCCCTCCGCTCCCAATCCTCCCCATCCCCCCAAGCCTCTCTCTCCTCAATCTCCTCTCTCTGTCTCTCTCTCTCTGTCTCTCTCTCTCTCTCTCTCTCTCCGTTTCTCTGTCTCTTTCTGTCTCCCTGTCTCCTTCCTATCCACACCCCTCTACAGAAAAAGGGTACCCTCGTTCTAACCTCTGTACTGGAGGACCTAGTCTCTCTCTCTCTCTCTCTCTTTCTCGCTCTTTCTCTCTGTCTCTCTCTCTCTCTCTGTCTTTCTGTGTCTCTCTGTTGTTTTTTCTCTCTCTCTCTCTACCTCTCTCTTTCTCTGTCTCTTTCTCTGACTCTGGCTCTGTCTCTGTCTCTCTCTCTCTTTCTCGCTCTCTCCCTCTCTCTCTCTCTCTTTCTCTCTCCCTCTCTCTCTCTCTCTCTGTGTCTCTGTCTCTCTGTCTCTCTCTCTCCCTCTCTCCCTCTCTCTCTCTCTCTCTCTGTCTGTCTCTTTCTCTGTCTCTTTCTCTGGCTCTGGCTCTGTCTCTGTCTCTCTCGCTTTCCCTCTTTCTCGCTCTCTGTGTGTCTCTCTCTCTCTCGCTCTCTCTCTCTCTCCCCCCCTTTTTCTCTCTCTCTCTCTCCCGCTCCCTCCCTGTCTCTCTCTCTCTCTCTGCATTGCAGCGTCACGTCCCCCCTTTGAGTTGCCTCGATGTCCGGGCACTGCCCCTTCATGACCCTGAACTGTCATCTCACAACTGGCTTTCCCCTTGATTTCCCCTTCATGTCCTTGTTACGTTTCTCATGATGTCCCAGTCATGTCCCTTCCATTGCTTTCAACTCCCCCTTCAGTCCCTTATGTCCGCTTCATTTTCCATGTATGTCCCGTTCTTGCGTTGCGAGCCATTTCCCTGCATCTTGCTGTGTCTCCCTTTCATTCCCCCTGCACTCCCCTTTTCATCTCATTTTCCCTATGTCCCTTTCAGTTCCTAGGTCCCCCACCTTTGATCCTTGGGGGGAGGGTTCACTTGAGAAGACAGAAAGAAGTTGGGTACCAACTTCTTCCAACCTCGAACTACTGGAGGACCTTTTTTTGTTTGTGGGGTCACCATGTTGTACCGGTTTTGCTTATGACTGGGCGTTTCTCTTTTCGCCAGGATGCCGAGAGACAGGTGGAGCCGAGTTTTGCCTCCCTGCTGTGCGAGTCCGCCTCCACATAACCCCAAGAGATGTGGTTCTTGCGGCCTGGGCTTCTTTGGTGCTTGGGGTTTATCTCTTCAAGTAGCGCTAAGATGTGTTGTCTTTGGTGCTTGGGACATATTTGGTGTTGAACTTTCTTACGCCAGGTAGCCCCAAGATGCATTCCTTTGGCCAGGGGTTATTTGAAGCTTGACTGCTAAAGGGTTGGATCTTTAGACTTTAACTTTTTGGGGAATCAAGTTGGGCTTTCCCATTAAGCCCCCAAAAAGTGGTTCACTTTTTGCAGAAGGGTTGTTGCAGCAACCATGGTTGGTGTGAGGTTCTGAATTGGTGTGATCCTTCCGGGTAGCCCCTCACGACTTCCTTTTCGCAATGCGCTGTGCCCCGACGAAAAGACTGGATTCACAGACCAGCCTTGAAAGGAGGCCAGGTAATTCACGTGCCTCGTGCCTGTATAGCATTCCGTTTGTTTTGTTCAGGGTAAAGCTCCGAAGCTTTAAGACTGGTTGAAAGCCAAAAGGCTAGGAACTTGCTCGAAGTCAGCTGGTTTCGTAGCGTCTTTGGAGCAATCCTGGTGGTGCCATCGAGGTTTTCAGGCAGTGTGAGGCCGGTTGAACCAGTCCTTGCAGAGCGCACTTGCTCGTTGTCGAAAATCCTGACCGAAACGGAGCGAAATCGACAGACGGGTCCCTCATCTTGAAAGACATGGAGTTTTTTCCTTGGGAGACGCCTGAGGATGGCTTCCGTTCAGGAAGCCAGCAGGGTCTCCTTATCCAAGTGCAGCTGAACGCCTGGATTTGCATCTTGCAGAGTGCGGGTTAGAGCGCACCATGCAGGTACAGGTCGCGAGTCGTTAGACGAACGGCGTGCGGTCGAAAAGGCGTCTTGAATCGGATGGATTCAGAGCCGTGCCCACTAGAAACCACTCTTTCCATGTTCTTGGCATGGTTTGTGTTCAGTTTTTTGTTCTTAATTGTTTGGGTCTGTTCATTTTTACGGGGGGCTGCAAACAAGTCAGTTTTTTGCAAGCCCATACCAAGAGTAGAGATTCAGAGGAGAGGTCACGGACCCAATGGCTTTAGATGCATCTCGATACTGCAG